GTTAAGGAAGCGGCCCCGCCCCTTCGACGAGATTCATGTGGGACAGACTGAAGAGGTCCAGCCAGTCCACCGCATTGTCTTGTGGTTCACCGTCGGTGATGAGTAAGAGCCGACATGGGCGAACTACAGTGCGCTAGGAGCAGGAATGAGGAGAGACAACATGCGTCCGTGTCCGGGAGAGGTAAAAGACACTTTGAATCCAGCCCGGGCGAAGGGACCCATCCCCTCAGAACTAAGGCAAGGAAGAAAAGGAGGTTGCAACTTTCCTCAATTTTAGGCCCCCACGCCAGAAAAATAACGAAGAGGATGCCTAAATCGCCTGAATTTCGGCAACGGGATCAAGACAAATGAGGACACTTGTCCACGTGTCAAATTCGTGCGAGATAGTTCAGCCCGGCGGAGCCTGACGGGCGACGACTTCCCCAAGCCAAGGATCGGTACCGTGTCGGATCGTTATTACGCAAGATGATCAAATTGCGAATTCTAAGGAAAGGGGATCTACGTCCCAACGTTGCTGACGCGTGCTCGAGCCTGCGCACGCGGGGGGGCGGGTGGCAGCGGGAAGGGAAACAAACTGCACAAAGGCAAGGCGGTTTCTGGCGGGAGGGCGGCGGTCACGGGAGCGCTGGGCGCGGGGGCGTTGTTCGGTTTTTTGCTTACTTTTTGGGGAGTGCGAATGTGGTTATTCAGCGCCCCTGTCAGGTTCGATGAGGTTTTTATTATTTTGGAGACCACCTCAGATGGCGGCGCGGTATACGTAATTTCCTTGTTCTATTTTCCCTGCGAGCCTGCCGTAACACCTATGAAACTATTAAAGCCACGACGGGGCATTGCCGCCTTTGAAAGGATATAGAGATCCGAGGATCAAACACAGCAACCGGGTTGATGTGGATGAAACTACGCAAGCATCAACGTTAAAAACTCACAACTCCGGCTCTTTACGCGTCTTTATTTATTTTCACAAGGTTCCTCGTTTAGCAATGATCCTCAACATTGTTGTTGCCTAGGAAGGACCTTTTCCCTTTAGACCTATGTAGGTTTCAGGATTAAACAGAATCGGAACAAGTCGAGTTGACCGACCTCGGGATGAGATGAAGATCGCTGCCTCCTTCACAGACGGCTGTATGCCTGGCTGTATGTCTGGAAGGAGATTTATTCTCTTCGAATGCCAACGCCAGGTTTGGCGGGTTTCCTATCCTTCCATATAATCAGTCGTCATACCTGCAAATGGGAGCTTGTTCTAACTTTCTCTGTGTCATGAACCTACACACTGTAACTCCTGCATGGTCAGTTCGGGTTATTAGCAGAAAACAACGACTATGAGGCTTTTCAACATGCCAGTGCTGTCCGTCTTTTCGTTCTATATCTCATAGAGGCCATATCAATCCACAGGACATGCCTTTTTATCCCCAACGAAACTGATACGGCTTTGCGTGCAAGAAACATTCCTGATTCCAGTTGTCGAAGTTGAAGTCTTCTTCGGTGAACTCATAATACGCTATTTTCAGATCAACTTGTTCTTCCGGTCACCATAGAATTACGAATTACACGTTCACTAAATATTCTGTCGACGTGGGGACACAAAGAGGAGAGGGGCGAGGGGGGAAGTAAAAATAGCAAGACACCACGCGCAATTTCTCGCGAGAAGCGAACCAGAGAGAAGACGTGTGTCCTTGACAGCTCTTCAATGAAAGGTAAATTTGTATAATAAATTGCGAAGGGCTTATGAAAGGTGACAGGCGAGAGGAGTACAAGTTTAGAAATCGATGGGAGCTTCTGGCCACTCTGCAGACCTCCCCCTCAACCATTACGCTTTTGTAGTTGCTTCAAGATGCTGAAAAACGTAGCGTGTGGTCCCGGACGGGACCTTCGCTATCCACCAAGTCTCGAGTTTTGGACAGAAATAGACACATGCTTCTGCTACCTTTCTGATTTGGTCCGTTTTCAGCTTATCGTAAAACCTCCTGACACAGGCAGCTGCAACCATATCTGACTGATGAGTTCTCCGTTTTGCAACAAGCATGTAGAAGACAAAATCGTTAGAACCATCCAAATCTCTGGCTATTTTGCTCACTTCTTGCCTGCCATTCATCCTGCACATAAGTTTTATTTGTATACGTAGTCTAGTAGCATCCATGCATTACACACACATCCGTCATCAAGATTTCCAAGGTGATCTGCAACTGCACAGATGAACTATGGGTCCCACCGCGGAAACTCATATCTCGTGTTTCTGGAACCAGCAGTGTAGCCATCGTTCAGGGAAATAGCACTCGGTGAGAATCGCTAGGTGAGCCGTGTCATATATTCTGCGCAGTTCATCCAATTCCATGATTTGACTCGAGATGTTGACGTATACGTATCTAGAACGTAAAAACTCCGATGGCAAGATCCCGAACACGACAAAGGGCACATAGTGTCTACGTGACAAATGGCCTCATCTGAGGCTTGTTGGCGGGCTTTTGCATTTCACATAACTGTAGATTTTTATGGCCACTGTAGTGCAGAGATTAGAACTACGGCACAAAAAGGTTGGCAAACCTGAAAACATTCAATTCGGCCTCTCACCCCCAGTTTTAGTTTGCGGTCATATTGCAAACAGTCTTTTTCTCGACTGCCAGTAATACCGCCAGCATCGCATCTCTCTAGGGCATTGTATTGCAGATACTGATCATTCACTGGCCGACTTCTCTCAGCTGAGATGCCAGCGATTAGTGTAGGGTAACTCAGCAACTCCCGAGGGATTGGAGAGTAAAATATGTAGCAAACTAGCCTACCGGCTAGAAAAGAGAAAAGACAAGTGAGAAAGAACGCGGGGAGCGCGAGAGAGGGAGGGAGGGTTTGTCAATATTCGTGCCCTACTGTACACACGACGGCACACGTGTCACACTTGCGCCGGCGGACGATTGCTGTCGTATCTTACACGTGTACATAGCACTCCCACAGTACTTAACACCGTCGTCGCTCATGTCCCCAGTAAAGACGACCTAAGGTCTTGAGTCTCTCCTACAGGTTATAGGCCCTTTTCCTTTCCCGCTTCCACTGCCCACCCCCCCTCATCCCCTTTCCATCAACCCTCATCCAAACGGCCCACGGCCGATCATCACCTCACACAAGCACCCCAACCGGCCCACGGCCGATCGTCACATCACACAACCGCCAAAACCGGCCCACGGCCGATCGGCACATCCCCCACACCAACCATTTCTTCTCCTGAGACTCCCCCACTATCCCTGACCTACTACCCCCCCTCCACGTCCCCAACTACCACCAATCATCCACCCACCATGGCATCCCCGCCCACACCTGACGGTCCCCGTATTTCCGTCACTCAACTGACACTCACCAATTTCAACTATTGGCACAACAACCTGATCTTCGTAGCCTCCATCAACAATTGCGACGGCCACCTGGACAACAACCCTCCCCTCCCCACTGACGCAGAAGACATCTAATCCCACACACGCCAGAAACGCTTTGCTCTTGCACTTATCTTCCACAGTCTATCCGAAGAAGTTCGATCCCTCCTCTCTGACGACGACCTCCTTCTCTCTCCTCACGATTTATGCAACAGACTCCATGGGATTACCGCCGCAAACCCCAGCAATGCTCCCTACCTGCTGACAGCCCTCGCTCGCGAGACAACCCTGCACCCCGGCACCCCTATGCTCGAATACCTTACACTCCACAAGAACATACGGACCCGGATGCGTGCCGTCAACTATCCTGGCATACAGGACAAAGGCACCGCTGCACAGTTTCTCCTGGACGGCTTACGTGACCACCCGGATTACAACCCGATCGCTCTCACCCTCCATGCCCAATCCAGCCTCCTCCCCATCGAACAAATAGAAGCACACCTTCTCCACGCAGAAAACTATCTGTCAAGGCAAACACCCCAACTTGCCCATCAAGCACACCCACCTCAACCCCGCCCGCGGCGCCAGTACAACCCTCCCCGCGGCAACCGCAACGCCCGCCGCCCCAACCACTGGCGCGGCAAATGGTGCTCCTACCACAGCACCCCATCACACGACACGGACGAATGCATTTCAAAAATGCCACAGTGCACTTCAACAACAAGCCCTCAACCGTCCACGCCCATCCAACTACGCCAAATGGCCACAACCCCCGATCCGCCCCACACACGCCAACTGGCAACAGGCCCCGACTCGCCC